CCTGACCTGGCTTGTTTCCACATACAAATCATGTTCATTTTCATTGGGAAGTGACAATGAGGCTGAAATTATTGTCCTTGCAGGCACAGTTTAAAGCCCATCTATTTGAGCAGGCAATAGTGGTGATGCGTAGGTGTGTGCTGAAAGTCATGGATCTCTGTCTGATAGCAAAGCACGGAGGAGGTTTTCAGCTTTATTGGTCATACGAGGGCTATTTAAATGGTGTGTGGTAGGAAGGAGAAGTCTTGCTGCTTTGGACAACGCATCTTTTGCAACTGCTATGATATTGTGGCTTTAAATTTATGACAGGATTGCCTAAAAAATTTGGAGGGTTTTTTAGACTGAAATCTATACAACTAAATAAAATATTGGGAGATAAGCATACGTCAAAGAAAGACCAGGCCCTCAAGTGAGAATGTAGCAATAAGTATCAATTATCACTGTTTTGCACTGTGTTCTTACACAGCAAACCAACCTGTCAGAGTGAATCTCCAAGTCCTTTCAGTACCCTGAAAATAGAAATGGATTAAATATTTCCCTTAAAAATATCAAAGAACCAAAAAAATATGAATACATTCTGTGTCCCCAAATGTTTTGTTTTTAAGATCATTAAGTTAAGAAAAAATAGCACTAAGGAAGGATACAACAATATCCTATGGTATAATTCTCCAACAGTTTCAAATGGAATTTTAAACTCCCTGGGTGCCTGAAAGATGATCGGTATGTATGTAATACACAGCCTTCTGCAATGTATCCAGAACTAAAGGGGGCATTTTTATAAATAATCACCTTTCTTTTCCCAAAAGGCATGAATCATATTCACTCTGCTCTGAAAGCTATAACTATTCCAAGCATGTTTCCAAAAAATCCTCTGGAGAGCTAATTACACCAGAATTGAGCAAAAAAGAGTCATTACCTGTTTGAACTGCTAGCTGCTGTATGATGGATTCTCAGTCAGTAGTATTCTACTTCAGAAAATAATTTCTATTCGCTATGTAAAATGTAGGTGGATTTTTATTTCCCCTACCCCTGAGTTCAATGATTTAATTTGCCCCTGGCTGAAAAAGACTAGAGTCTTTCCTGGTTTTAAAGTAATTGTAATCATAACTTTTTTTAAAAAGTTGCATCGTGGCCTTAAATTCAGAACTAAGACCAAACTGGGAAGCAATTCTGATCTCACTTACACCAGTTATACACTGGTGTGACTCTCCTGATTTCAGTGGAGTCACTCCTGATTTGAAACTTTCTAAGGTCCTTACCCTGTAAACATGTGAGTCATTTTACTCATGTGAGTAGTCTCATTGGATTTAATGAGACTACTTACATGAGCGAGTGTTTGCAGGATGAGTTCCTAAAATGAATCAATCAGGTTCACAAAGTTCAGATACAAATCCAAAGTTTATCTGAATTATTTCTACTAGCTAACCCTGAAAAATTGGTGTGGAAATTTACAAAGAACAGCTTATCAGGATAATGGTGGCACTTCTGTGTCCAATCACAGTTGGGAGTGAAGGAAGTATCTGAACATTTCAAGACATCAGATCGTCATCCATTAGTGTACAGGTACAAAAGATAGGGATGATGTGCATTGTGCCCCCTGACCATTAAATAATAATTGGTTATCCACTTTAACATGGCTGCAGGACTCAAAACTCAGTCATACTTGATTTCTTCCCCACCTCTACATGGTTCGAACTATGCTTTGGGAACTGTTTGACTATTAGAGATGTGGGAACTAAATAATATAAGATCTGAACCAGAGCTTTCTCTAATTTAGAATTAGCTAAAAATCCAACCTCTTTTGGTTCAAAGGAGTTTGGATTAATGGTCCGCCCATGGTATTCTTCCATTTTCATTGTCCTCTGCTCTTCCAGGTTCCACCCAGAATAACTTCCCAACATCACCCTGGCAAAATAGCTCAACTTTGCTACAGATGAACCATCCTTGAGCTCAGCAGTACATTCATGCTCCCTCAACATGACTGAATGCTGAGTTCAGAGGGCTTGCTTGGCTTCTCTGAACAGACTGCCAACAACTGGGTGACGACTGCCATGTTCATTTTTACCATGGGGACACCTGACTTCTAGGAACCAGATTAACACCACAAACTCATTTCTCACAGGTCAAACACCAGTGATCAAATGAATGACCTTGCTAACCTGAACTGGTAACCTAGAGGTTTGTAACTAAGAAAGGCAGAATAAAATTATGACTTGGCTCATCCTGTTCCTACTGATATTCATTAGTAAGCCTTTTAGGTCAGGGAACTTAAATTTAGCTGCTTTTCATACTTGATCACAGACTTTTTGAGTCTTTCTTGTCTTCAGACGTTAACTTAAACTTACATTTGTCTGGTCCCTAGCATGCAAATGATATGAACTTAGATTCCCAGGCACATCAGTAAGAAGGTGGAAGTAGTTGTAAGACAATTTGAGTCTATAGAAGTCTAGCATACCTCACCTTACACATCACCTTTGAGTTGGGCCCTAAACACCAAGGTATTTGGGTGCCTAAAGATGCAGATAGGTACCTAGTGGTATTTTCAAAAGTGCCTACTGCCTAATTCCCCTTGAGTTAAAACCTCTAACTCCTCCACCCCTCCTTGTTTCAGCTGCTGTTCTTAATGCCTCTTTTGTCTTTGTTTTTTGAATGCACGAGATGTGTTGTCTGGCCTCTCTTCTTTTGCCAATGTTATTGTGCAGAAGCCTGTGTAAGACATCTTCACCCATCGCTTGAATCTAACCCAAACAATTTTTATTGTTAACGCTTAGATAACGCTTCTTTTTCATGTTTTTCTTCTCTTGGTTTCCAGTCTGGCCTGGAAGTGGATGTGTCAAAATACCACAAAAAACTAGATGCTATTGAACGACTGCCACCACCAGCAGGAGTGAAACACTGGACTCTAGTGGCCAGATCCTCAGCTAGAGTAAGCTAGCAGAGCTCCACTGACTTCAATGGAGCTACACAAACTTACACCAGTTGAGTATCTAGTCCTAAGTATGCAAGAAATTTTAGCACTGGAAAAATATTTCTAACAAGTAAGAAGACAAGCTACAGACTTTGGCCAAACTGATTCCCTTAAAGCAGTGGTTCTCAACACAGAGGTCTTCCAGGGGCTATGTCAGCTTGTCTAGATATTTGCCTAGTTTTACAACAGACTACATAAAAAGCACTAGCAAAGTCAGTACAAACTAAAATTTCATACAGACAATGACTTGTTTATACTGCTCTATATACTATACATTGAACTGTAAGTACAATATTTATATTCCAATTGATTTTATAATTACATGGTAAAAATGAGAAAGTAAGCAATTTTTCATTAATAGTGTGCCATGACACTTTTTTATTTAATTGTCTGATTTTGTAAGCAAATAGTTTTTAAGTAATGTGAAACTTGGGGACGCGCAAGACAAATTAGACTCCTGAAAGGGATACAGTAGTCTGGAAAGGTTGAGAGCCACTGCCTTAAAGCAGGCTACTGGAACTAGTTTTATGATCTACTTATTAACAAGATAAAGACTATGGAGTACTGAATACACAGATAGCTCAGTAAATAGCAGTGCTAACAACAGCCCAAGACTCGTATGGTGCTCCATGCCTTTCAAACAGTTCATGCCTTTACCACAAAACCAAACTCTCTCTGTATGTGAGGACCTGACAGCTCAGATCTTTCAGACTGAATACTTACAATGATGGGAATATTAGAACTGCCATAGCTTACAAAAAGGCTGTCTCTTCTCTGTGTGGGAATGAACGAGCTCACGGCATCTTTCATAAGAGGAGCTCCATTGCCAACACGCCTTCTTCCCAGGGCCAGCTCGAGGTTTTTTGCCGCCCCAAGCAAAAAAATTCTTGGCTGCCCCCCCACCCCAGCCCTGGGCTCTCCCCCCCCCTCCCCCCGCACTCCCTGCCGCCCCAGCCCTGGTCTCTCTCTTCCCCCGCCCACCCCCTACCACCCCAGTGCTGGGCTCTCTCTTTCCCCCCTCCCACCCGCACCACCTGCTGCCCCAGCCTTGGGCTCCCCCGTGCCAGTGCTGACTCCGCCTGCGCCCCCCTCGCCTCCAGCCAGTCCGGCACTGGCAGGGTCGGGGTAAGCAGCGGGGCTCCTGGGCCGTGCCTCAGCCCAGGGTCCCTCCAGCCAGGGCTCCCGCCTCCAGGACCGGCCGGGACCCGGGAGGGCAGAGCCGGGGGACCGCCCCGGCAGGGGGGCTGAGGAGCCGGGGCAGGGTAGCCCCAGAGGGAGCGGAGCCCTGGAGAGCAGGACACGGGCCCTGCACAGCAGCGCTGTGCCTTCTATGGCCCCGCTGCTGCTGCTGCTGCTGGCCGCCCTGCCGCAGTCTCTGGGCGGCTCGGGCTGCTTCGCCCAGCCCCGGCTGCGGCGCTGGGGGGCGGCCGCCCTATGGCACCTGCAGGCGGCTCCATGTGCCCCTCGGGGCGGCCCCCAGCCCGAGTGTCCCCCATTCGGAGCCTGCCCGGCCCAGCCACAAGGTGCGGCGCTGCTCCCCCGCGGCGTGAACAGCAGCAGCCCTAGGGTGCCCCCCGCGCAGGACGCACTGCAGCTGCCGGGGCCAGGTCTAAGCTTTTGCTGCCGGAAGAAAAAAAAAAGTGCCAGAATGCCGCCCTTGAAAATGTGCCGCTCCAAGCATGTGCTTGGTTTGCTGGTGCCTAGAGCTTGCCTTGCTTCTTCCTCACACTGTTATGCATATGCTGTGCATCAGATACACACCTTAGGAGTGGCTGCATTTCAGAGTGCTGCATGTAGCTTCTAAAGTGCTTTGAGATCCTTTGAGATGAAAGCTTCAATATAGATATACATTCTCTTCAAAAGGTGTTATTGTTTTTTAAAAGTTCGTCCGTTTACCCTTCATTAATTCAGCAGCGATAAGAGCTTTGCAAGGTACACATTGCAACTGAGTAACCCATTTTAGTAGTTAATGTCTCTGCATTTGGGGAATGCTTCTCACACATTTGGTTTATTAAAAAAGAAATGTAATTACCTTAGCCGATGTTTCAAACCATCCCACAAACCCATTCTCCTTGCAGAACTGGTCCATCTTGAGACCGTTGTTCGTAAGCACATCTTTTCCCTGGTCGCATTTGTTTGCTAAGAGAACGGTCGCCACGGGTTTGCCATTCGGGAGAATCAACTTAGAGTCCAGATCCTCTTTCCATTTTGTCACCGCTTCAAACGTCGCTGGTCTTGTAACGTCAAAGACAATAAACGCTCCCATGGCTTCTCTGTAATAGACCCTTGTCATGTTTCCAAATCTTTCCTGACCTGTGATGATGAAGATGGGAGGGGAAAAAATCATTTGAATCATCACTTCCAGGCTGAGTCAATATTTCACATGCCAGTGTGTTATCTGGCAGAACATTATCTAGCCTGGAGTTTAATGCTGTAAAGCTGGAAAGCTACAATTCATCTAAACAATAATACAGAGTGATAGACTCATTTGTGTGAAAATGCCAGTGAGTGTAGAGAGCAGAAAGCATTTAATAGGGCTAGAGTCTAAGGAAATGTAATAACTTTATCATAAGCTCAAATATTAGTAGTGCTAGAGTCCTATTAAGCCAGTAGGTTTCCAGGCCTATGGGAAAATACCAAGGATCTTAGCAGGCTTTACAGATATTAATACATCTCACAAGGCATATAAATGTTATCCCCATTTTACAGATGGGAAAACAAAAGTACTAGAGAAACTAAAGGCAAAATTCTAGCCTTACAGTATAAAATGCACTGTGGAAGGTAGAGCAGCCGTGGTTAACCAAAGGGCTGCATGGTTCACATGGGCCCCGGGAGCAACATGGTCCATAATAAAGCCCCCGATTACTGCTCCAAAAAGGAGTAATATGCACCTCATGACAATAGGAGCATATGTGTAAGACTAATGCCTGGCCATGCTGCCAAATTGTTTGTTAATGTTCATTTGGAGCTCTGGAGTGCTACTGTTATAATAGCCAAGTGTTGTGGATCCACAGTATCTGTGCTTTTAGACAGTCTCTTGGAAGAACCAAGAGGATTCACTCTTCCTTCAGGGTAGGTTATACAACCCCAATGCCTCCTAGACTGAGATACTGGGCTCCCACGTTCCTTGTTCACACAGTGAGCTCTGTCCAGTGAGTCCATCTGAGAGAGACTCCTGGTAGAGACTTGTACATTCTTCGCCTGCACCCCAGGCAGTGTTTACAATGACACCCCAAACTGTTTTCAAAACAGAGTAGGGTTTTTTAGTCAGGTGGAACACAGCATTGCCAGTGCTTAGGTTAGCAGAGAGAAATAAAGATTCAAGTATAGTCCATTCTGGTCAGCTTATAGCAATTCACCACCCAAGATGTGGTAAACTCCATTTGCAGACTCTGAGGTTCTCTAGTTAGCATAGGTAATCCACCTCATCAAGAGGCGGTCACTAGAATTCTTCCATAGACCTAGCACTGTCTACACTGGGAATTAGGCTGGCTCAGCTATGCTGCTCAGGAGGTATGGATTTTTCACACGCCTGAGTGACAGTAAAGCTGACAATTTTCTAGTGTAGACCAGACCTTAGTCACTTCCAAAGTCGGAGAGCCCAAGCTTCTTCCAGAGCTCGCACTTATCCTGCCTCATTCCACCCAGTCCTTTGTTCTAGAGCTGGGATCTGTATTTAGCTTCCCTGATGAAAGGTGGAGAAATCTTCCTCCCTCTGGGTTGTTGGTTAGTTGCTCCCATTGTCTTCTCAGATTTTCCATTGATATGGGTCAGCCTCAGACAACCTTTTTTTTTTTTAATGACACATTCAATCCACTCAGACAGCTAGGTGACACACACACCCCTCCTCTCCTGGGAGAATGAAGTTTGTTTTCAGGGCATGCTACTACCCCACCCCTGGTTAGGAATGCAAAGTATGGGGGGAAACTGAGGCACAAATAGGCGTCATCAAAATGTTACAAAAAAGTCCTGCTTCGTCACACCAGAGCCCTGCCTAGCACTCAGAGGAATGCTCAATCTAATCTGCCCTGCCCCTGTTGCATGCGTCTGAGGGTAGCATGGGAGCGCATGGAGCCTCCTTAGCTCTTTGCTCCTACATAGAACAAGGCAGACTTTTGCATGAAGGGATTTTGTGAGGTCACACAGTGCGGTCAGGTGCAGAGTACGGCTCCACTGCAGCGGGAGGTGTGATTTCCAGCTCACGTAGATGCACACACACTAGCTTTGATCGAGCTAGAACACTAAAAATAGCAGGATAACCATGGCGGTATGAGCAGCAGCTCAGCCTCGCCACCCAAGTACGCACCAAATAGCTTGGACAGGATTGTACTTCGGTGCCTACCCCAAGCCACTGCCTGTGCTTCAGCAACTGCACTGCTATTTTGAGCACACTAGAGCAATCAAAGATTGAGTGGTTACTTTTACCTGGGCTAGAAATGACACCACCAGCTGCAGAGGAGATATACCCTGAACCTGAACCACAAAGTTGGAAATAGAACCCAGGAGTCCTGGCTCCTGGAACGCGTACTCTCATCATTAGGCCCCATTGCCTTTCCATGCTATCTTCCAGTTCTTGGAAGTCACACTGAGCAAGCACACCCAGCACTAGCACATGGAATTCTGAGAATGTGTATTACGCAGACAGTACCACAGATCTGTGATATTTAGCTTTTGTTTTCTAGGTTAACATTCAGGCTAACAAGGAGATCTTCATTCACATGATACAGAAGCCAAGAGTGAACTTCCATCTTTTCTAAATTAGTCTTGGTTTCGTATACCTTAAACAAACACTGCTCTGCATTGATGAAAGAAGACTTGGACATATCATTGCTGGAAAACATAAGGTCATGTTGAACTATTATTACGGACATGTTTTAGAATAGTGTCTTATGATCTCTCTCAATGGGCTAATCAGATGAGTGGCTAAGTCATGTGTTATTCAATAATCTACTTGTTGGGAAGATTTTTTTTCAGACAAAAGTTAATTTCTGTCCAACAGCCTAGGATCGACAACAGCAACAGATATAAATAATGTTCACGTACCATGGCTCAGTAACACTTCCTATTTTTCATGGAAGGCTCTCAAGGGGTTGACACTGGTGATAAGCATGAAATAAAAACTAGATCAGTAAACTTGTGCCTCGCAGTGTCATTCTGATGGGAGTAACGATTGTATCCATTTTACAGATGGGTAAACTGAGGCCCAGCCACCTTCAGAAACTTGCTAATGGTCATACTGCAAGTCAATGGCAGAGCTGGGAATAGACCGCACCGATACACCAGGCTCATGGTCTCTTGCTCACCAAGGGCTAGCCCTTGCTTTCCTTCACATGGAAGTAGTCTCCCTGCCTTCTATGCTCTCTACTTGGCTGAGTAAAGACTGCTCAGACTGAAGTTCTGGCCATGAGGGTGCATGCCAGATAATGCCCCTTGGCACTAAGTTAGCAGGGATGAGACAGAGAGGAGAATGATTTAGAGGACCCCTGGTTCCACCCTGCTCCCTGCACTCACTGGCCAGAGTAATTAGCTGGGAGCACAGGGGGGCAGTAACTTCCTTCCTCCGCAAGCAAGGGAAGAGGGGAGGGACTGTGCCTCCAGGGCACATTTCCTTCCCAGGTCTCCTCCTGGGGCGGTGCAGATACCTCCCCACTTCTTACTCTGGGCTGAGCCTAACAGTTCAGTCTAGCCCTGATCAGTGCAGTATATAAATAACATGCCTCCAGTCCCAGTAGGACCTTGCAAATCCATTAATGTGCTTACTGCAGATCTCACTCACCCCCAGTGCTGGCCTCTCTCCACCTTCCAGTGAGGATTTCACAGCAAGGTGCTGCAAGGAGGGAGGCCCCACGTTACTAAATTACGTTTGCAAAATATACTGCAGAACCTTGACTTGTTTACCGGGAAAAAACTAGTAATGCAAACTGGACCACGTTGGCCGAAGTGAATGAATGTGCATTGATGCATCAAGGGGTAAATAAGGCCTCATTGATCTTTAACACTGGGGTGTTTACCGTGCCCTTCACAATGAACCTCTCCGGCCCTTGCATTGGGAAGCTCACCACGATGGCCCTACAGCTCACCACTATGGCTCTTCTCTGGCTAGCTCAGTCAATGTCACCATCATGGCCATTTGCAAAGAGGAGCCTTTCCTCTCCTCTGGTACAGGCTTCTGTGTGGCATTCCTGTCTCATTCCACCAGCCTCACTAACCTGGCTGGACAGAGAATCTACGCTGGCAGAAAGCCTCTCACTAGCTCCCTGAGCAAGGGTCAGAAATGGAAGACTAAAAAGTTGTCCTGCAAAGCAGGAAGGGTGGAACAAAAAAACCTGGACTTGGGAGGTTTTTTCTGCTTCTTTCTGTGGGATAAAAAAAGCCTGAAAGGTTTTTGGCTTTGTTTCAAAGTTTTATTTTCTGCTTGTGTTTTAACATTAAAATTTCCTGGAAAACTCTCTGATTGCAGAACGAATGGAAGGATAATGTCACAGTAACCTAATGTGTGAAAGCTGAGCAAATGAGAGAGGGAAGGAACTTTAGTCAAGGCTGCCTAAAATTTTGGTTAATGAACATTTTGAAGATGTGGAGACCTTGTTAAAAATTCAGCACCCTCTCACCTCTTCAAACCAGGGCTGAGAGAGAACAATTTACATCCTCTGAGATTGTCTCTAATAAGTCAACCAGCAAAACTAGGGGAGACCAGAGTTGAGCTTCCTGATATTTCTAAGATAGAAACAAGCTTGTCAGGCCTTCATTAAACATCATGAGCATAAAGAGGGTAAAAGATCAATTTTAAAAAATCCTTCACAGGTCACCTTTAATAAACTGAGGTCATCTCCAGACCTGATTTCAAGTCATTGGCTACCACTTCAGAAGCACATTAGGAGACTTACTGTGGATAAGACATGGACCACCGCCTGAGGCAGGCATTCCCCCTGTCCACGATGCAGGGATGCGGCCTTTTGGCAAATGGAAGGAGGGGGGAGTGGCCAACGTTCTAAAATTGGCCAACGTTCTAAAAAATGTGAGAATTCCAGACCAAGAGATTTACTCCCTGGTGTGTTACTTTTGATGGAATAAAAGCAAGTCTAAGCTGTTAACATGATCCTATCACCATAGAATAATAAAAAAGTCAGCCCTAGTTCAGGGGTTTGAGTACAGAGGCTTTGGCCTACTGGGTCCCCCCGCAAACTAAACAAAGCATTTTGAAATTGAAACTGAGTGGCTATGCAAAACAAATTTAATCAAAATTTATCAAAGTCCCTTTTTCAGCCTGAGACTGTCAGTTACAGTCCCTTACTCTGTCAAGCAATCCTTCT